CACTATCTAGTACTAATGCTTAAACATGGAAATCGCTGAAAGCTCTAGAACTAAACCATTGACTTCATTTCCAGTTTTACCTACGCTTACCTGCCTTGCCAGCTATGACGCCAACGCTTCGCCGCCCCACCAAGAAGACGCCCGGCCGCCCCAAGGCCAGGAAGCCTCGGACGTGCCACCGTTGCCATAAAACGTTGAGCACGTCGACGAAGCTGAAGAACCATCTTCTTCGGAAGACTGGGTGCGGGGCAAAAGCGGACGCTTTAAAAAAAGAAGAAAAAGCAAGAGGCGAGTAGATTTTCAAGCAAGGTATATTCGATTAAACGCGAGTTAGACAAGGCGGGTTGGTGGGGGGAAATCGAGGGCTACGAGGACGAGGAGACGAAGGAGGGTGACGGCGACGAAACCATGGGCGGTGGTGATACTGTGAAGGTATGGCAGACTGCGCCTGATAATTTGCGGCGTGCGAAAGGTTTGGCGCGCCTAGATTGGACGCAAGTCATTCAATTGCGTTAGATCGACTGATACGTTAGTATTAACAAAATAGAATTTCAGGTAAATACTATTCAGGTTAATACTATTTTTGGTAATACAAGCCCGAAAACGATCAGATGTCTTGTGTTGGGTTTGGCTCGGAGCAGCTAGAAACACGTCAGAAAACGCCTCCATCAGTCTAATTCATGGACGATTCGGTCCGTCAAACAGCCCGATTTCAGAGATTCGCGCCTAAAAACATTTTTGGACTCGATATCATTTTAAATTAGTATAATTAAAAATAATATTGAAATATTTGCATACTGAAATCAAGTGAAAACAAAAGCCTTTAAACTTTTACTTTAAAAAAATGAAATGGTGTATTATGAAGCAGAAACGGAGTCGTATCTGCAAGCGATGAGCTTCGACCGTGCTCTTACTCAACTCTAGTCACCTCCCTTTGCCTTTTTCCGCTTGTGTTTTGGCTTAGGCCTGGCTTTAAACCTCGTTTGCCCAGCTCGGGTGGATCTGACTGAATACAGGGCATACGTACCGATAGATCAGAGGCTAGGGTCACGCTAGTCGGTCACGGCTGAAACGGTACGTGGTAAGAGAGTCGAAACTGGGCGATTGACATTCGAGTCGAGTCGAATAGAGTGTCAAGAGCTTGGCCTTCACACACTGCCGCTGCAACTGCGTGAACGCACGGAAACTCTTTGTCTTGCCAATTTCCGCAGGTACACTCTTTTGCTGGTAAATTGACAAGCCGCCACGGATGGATATATCCCGGTTTGTCTGTCGGCCCGTTGAACATGACGTTGTACGCCCCCTCCATACACGGCGTAATTTCACATTGCTGGCTGGTTTCACTATGGTTTTGCAGCTCAGTTGCCAAAAGCGTAACAGGATCCGTGTCGAGAGCTGCTCGTAGTCAGGTCACCACAACCTGTCTCCTACGAGAAACCAACTCGTTGAGCTGTCTAAAGTAGATCCAGAACGCGTCAAGAGGCTTGGCGCTTCGACACTCGTTGCCAATCCAGTTGTTCGCTTGCTCGGTCAAATTTGACGTAGTTTCGTTGTAAGTCGGCAGATTGAATCGCTCTTGATACTGGTACTTAACCCAATGTGCTTTGTTAATG